TGAGCTTCGTTCTCTGCCATGCGAGAGGGGAAAAAAACCCTAAACCCTAAACCTTAAACCCTAAACCCAAGAAGCCCCCAAGCCCCGAAACACCTTGAATGCTTTTTGAATCCTCTGGCTCCAAAGGCTAAATGCCTGGAGCCTGGCACGCCGAATTTCTATAGCCAGAACTTCGAACCCAAAGCCTAGAGCGCTTGAGCATCAAAAGCGTCGCAGTGTATCTATTGTATCTCTTCTACCAAATCGTCAACATCCTTTCCCCCGCAGGCCACGAACCCTAAGCCGAACTCCTTGCAGCGCCTCCAGGTATGTACGCCGCTGCGTCGCCAACTGGTGGGCATGGGATACGGCTTTCCAGTGGTATCCGGACTTGCGGCCCTGTGACCCAGAGGCGCACGAAAGTTCATCTGAGGTTTGTTCCGAAGCCAGATTATATTATATATATACACAGTTACACACACTTACATACATATATATATATATATGTATAGATGTACACAAGTTTGTTTATATATATATATACAGAGTTATTCAATCTATATAGAAATATATATATATATATATATTTATCTGTCTATCTGTCTATCTGTCTATCTGTCTATCTGTCTGTCTGTCTGTCTATCTATCTATCTACCTGTCTTTCTTTCTTTCTTTCTATCTATCTATCTGTCTGTCTATCTATCTATCTATCTATCTATCTATCTATCTACCTGTCTTTCTATCTATCTATCTATCTATCTATCTATCTATATACATATCTACTTATACATATACTTACACATTGTCAAAGGTTCAAATATGACCGTCGGAGGCCAGGCTGCAGCCTTAAAGCAGCGATGGACCCCTCTGAGACACTTTCCTCGTCTTTCCTCACGTCCTGTGAAGCTTCGGATGTTTGTTGCGGGAGTTTAGTCGGAACCCTGGTCTAGGTTCGGGGTTAACCCTAAACCCTCAACCTTGTACTGTAGTGTGAGCATGAGCTGTGTATTCCAGTTATTTTCTTCTTGGGCAGGTCCAGATTGGCAGAACAGTCATGCAGAAACACGGAAGGGAGATGCGGAGCGGGATAGTACGAATCCTAGAGTAGTAATGTTGTCATGACCTCAGGCCCGCGTCTCGCAGCCACTCATGTGTCAGGAGCTGGGTACGTAAGTTCGTGTGAAGCATAGTGGTGGTGGTTGAATCCCTTTGCTCTGTTTGGTTGCCGAGCTCCTGGTCCCAAGCCTCCACCAACATGGAATTCCAGACCCTCAGGCGAAGGAAAAGAGGTGATAAAAAAAACCCTCAACCAACGTGGAGACCGAACTATGCGGAGCCTTGCCAGCCGTGTGCGAGTGTGAGAGTCGAAACCCTCAACCCTGAACCCAAAACCCTAAACCGAACCCTGAAAGAGCCCTGAGAAGGTTCGCCGCGCCTCGCCGGCGGAGAGAAGCGTGGTTGTACGCTTTTGGCCGGGGGGCCCGGCTTAGGGAGGAGGGCTTCTTCTTGGAAGTTCATGGGTAGTTATAAGTGGGGTTACAAGTCCCCTAACATGGGTTATAAGTATAGTTACCCTATACTTGTAACCACATTTATAACTGCCCATGAACCTCCAAGCAGCAGAGCTGCAGCGGAACTAGTCACAGGAGGACATGAGGGTGATGCCAGCGGCATCGGCAGGGCTAGGAGGAAGCGTGATGAACTACGATCGGCTAAACTTGCTGTATCTTGACGCAGCGGTCCTGCAGAATAGAATGCCAGAGGTTCGAACACAGTGGAATAAGCAGACTGTGACGGCATGGCGCCGCGTGTGATTGGACAGGGAACAAGATGGACAGACAGGTGCAACGGAACGTGCTGGCATCGCTGAAGCCGACTGCGTGATCTGATGCTCCAACAGAGGGTACACAAGTAGAATCAGAATGAGAGTGTCAGCCTAGTAGTAAGGAGACTTGAACCAGTGAGATGTCTCTGAATCTGCATATTTGACGGCCCCACTACATTGAATTGATGCTTTCTGTCTATCTGGCCCTGCGCCCAGCTTCAAAGGTGGGTCTATGCCGCCCATCGTGCCCTCGTATCCTTGGGCCGGCGTCCGAACTTCATCTACCTGAACCTGGTGCGTAAGGCCCGATGCGACTTAGGGTCTCCGGGGTAACTTGGGAGGCCGTGAGGAGTTTCAGGTCCCAAGAAGGCGTCGTGAAGGGCCCTGCCAGAGAAGCAAGAGCCTCGAGACCAAGCCAAGGGAGCCCTGCTCCCGGGTCCGAGCCCTACGTTTCTAAAGCTGTAATCCGACCCTGAGAAGTTCTGAACCGTCGCATATACCAACCAGCCAGTGCGAGCAACGTCTGAACGAGGCCAGCTACCGCCACAAGCACCGCAGCCTCATCACCGAAGTCCTTGAACGGAGCCTTGGTGAAGCTTTCTCAACCCTAAAGCCCAAACCCCAAACCCCTAAACCCCTAAACCCTTTTACTTTGGATCGTTTAGGGCTTCTGGCTTCCGTTCAAGGTTGGGGATGGGCGGCTTTCGCCTGTCTGGGGTGTTATGCGCGGCCTGCGATGCAAGGTCCAGACCGCTGATCCCCGGGGCACGATTAGCGCTGAAGGCCGGCGGCACGGCATGTTGTTGGGATCTCAACCTTTAGAGTACCCCAATCAGGTCATCAGAGTGACCCCTCAAGTCCTCAAGCATGGTTGCCGGTTTGCGAGCTTGAAAGCTTCCCATCGTTTCATCGCCTGCAAACCTAAAAAAGACCGAGACCGTCCGAAGCGCTCCTATGAGGCTTCGGCGCACCAGCGGCAGCAGCTGTCAGAGCTGCAGCCACATGCCCAGATAAGGTTGGGATTTCGGTTTCACTGGATTTTGTATGGTTTAGGGGCTCGGGATTTGGGATGAGGTCGCCAAGAGGTGGCAGGGCTTGGCGCTTTTCGGCCGCATGATGTTGCACGTCTTGTCATTACATGATGATGGTGATGATTACTGCGGGGGTTGTCAAAGATTGATTGTTGATAACCAGCATGCCCGATTATGACGGTTTAGGTTTCCTACTCTTGCATGGTGTTGTCATTACCAAAACCAAGGAAGCTCGCACCCGGACTGTACATGTAATCAATCAATCAACGCTCGCTCTCCGTCTCTTTCTTTGTCTGTCTGCCTGTCTGTCAGGCCATTGCTCTCTTTCTCAGTCTCTCTTGCTCTTCTCTTCTCTCTCTCTCTCTCTTTGGTTTCTTTCTCTCTCACTCTCTGTCTCTCTATCTTTTTGGATGCACACCACAGCTGAGAAGTATCCCAATTATTTGCTGTTGTTTCCTTCATAGCCACCTTGTGCGCAGAATCCTCTCTGCCGAGGATCCACTTGCCCTATCCGGACATCCTCACGTGCTTCAGGGAGGAGCTGGGGAAGTGCGCGATGAGAGGCCGGTGATCGGGTTGGGGTCTTCGACAGACCTTTGGAGGTCGAGGTTTGGAGGTTTAGGTGTGAACCTTGGCTGTATGAATTGGAGTTTGGGGCTTGGATTGAGGGTATATGGCAGCCGGATTCCGTTTTCAGTTGTCTGCTTGTCGTCTGAACTTCGTCTTGTCTTCCTTGTGTTTCCGAGTGTGTGCGCACGTGTGTGTGTGTGTGTGTGTCTCAGACGAGCACCAAAACCCTACACTCCACCTCCCAACAAGCCCATGCCCTGACCCCCAGGAGTTCAGGCTAATGACCAAAAGTATTTGGCTTGACTCCTGAACTCTTCTGGCCGCAGGATGGGCAGCCCGGCCAGCAGCACCCGGGCTTGGTAATTAGAACAATTCGGCCACTTTCAGTTGCAATGACGAGTGAGTGAGGAGTAAGACAGTAGGATCATTGTTGTTGTTGCTGCTGCCCTTCTCCCCATTCTTACGTACCCTAAACCCTAAACCCTAAACCCTAAACCCTCGTGCTCTTATCAGCTCCACTGTACGTAGGACTACGGCTTTCAGGGTGGCGGAGGCTTGGGAGCCGGACAGTCAGGGCTTCAAAGGCCCGTGAGTTCAGGGCTTAGGGCATGGGGCTGGGGGTTTGGGTTAGGATTTGTGCTTTAGGGACTTTAGGGTTTAGGGAGTTTGCGAAGCAGAACTCTGGCAGCGTCCCTTAAACTCACAGGCCCTCGCACCATATGCCTCGCCTGGAGTGTCCGAGTGCGCGCGCCGAAACTCGCGCCCTGAACTAAACCTAAACTCAAAATCAGAAGCTTCGTTGCCATCCTTAGAACAACAGCAGCCGGGTGGAAATCATCGCCGCCAAAGGCTATGGCCGCAACGGACGGGCCTTTGCCCGAAAGGGACGAGGCAGGGTTCTGGGGTTTGAGTGTTTCCGAAGAGTGTTGCGTTGAGGCTTCGAGACGGTATGGTGTTTAGGCATCAAGTTGGTTCAGGGTCTCAGGGCTCAGAAAAGTTTTGGGATTTGGGTTCAGGCTTCAAGGCATTTATGATTTAAGGTTTACGGGCCGGGCTCAAGCCCTGCCAGGGTCTGGCTTTACGGCTCTCGGTTTACTTTCTCCCCCTCAGTCAACTCTGCTCCTCCCCTCTCCCTCCAGGCTAAAACCATCGAAATGCTCCCACACTAGTCCAAACACTTGAATTTCGCAGTTGGTATTGGGCTGACATCGACCCCCACCCCACGCTCCACTGAAATCAAAGCCACTTAAACACTGTTGCGGCATGTGCCAGTTGGAGGTGTGCCTCCTGTCCTTGTGAGCTGCCTTACATTACAAGCCCTGAAACCCCTCCCCTCCATTAAACCTCGCAGCCCTTTCCTCCAGGAGCTGGACTCCGTTGTTGAGGATTCCGACTCCGATGTCTCAGAGGGTTCGGTGCCTGGTGACCTCTCAGGCCACCTTCGTGTTCCGGCGTCGCACCATGGACTTCGGTTTGCTTTAGTCAGTAGGATTGTTGCTCCATGTACTCACATGCAGAAGATATGGGCCTGCAGAAGCCGCTCTGCTCCGTAGTTCACCGTCAACGGAAAGCCAAAGCACTAGACACTGAGCCCTACTTGGGGGTTCATGGGTAGTCATAAATAGGGGTAAAAGTAAGGTAACCATACTTATAGCCCATATTAGCCTGACGAATCTTTAAAAGCCCCCCCCATGAGTCCCCAGACCCGAGGCTTTGAACCACCCCCACGGATAGCATCAACTACACTGCCGACTCAGCAGCAACAGCCTCGCCTGGCCACAGCCAGCCCTTTCCTCGCCTTGGTTGTAGAGGCAGCTTCTTTTCCAGTCTACGCCAAGTTCTTTTGCCGATACTGTAGAGTTAGCAGAGGGGTCCTGTTCGAGTGTGAGCGCCGAAGCCCTCCCCCCAAAATCAAACCCTCAGCAGGAGGATCCTTTCTACCCTAAACCCTGAACAACCCTAAACCCAAATCCCTAAACCCTAAACCCTAAATCCCTAAACCCTAAACCCTAAATCCCTAAACCCTAAACTGTGAGAGTGTAAGCAACCCTAAACCCTGTAGCATCAAAAAGCGCAGGCGACGAGGACCAGCCCGAGGCAGAGCCGAGCCTGGGCGGCCACTGGGAGCTGCGCCCTGGCTGGGAAAGTGTTTGTTTTTACAAATTTTTGTATATGATGATGTTACTACTATTCTTGTTATTATTGTTACTCTTGTTATTTATTATATTATTTTTTTTTGGGCGGGGGTTCGAGTTTAGGGTTTTGGATATACGGTTTTCATGGGGTCTGATAGGGTGTTATGACGATGTTGAAGGTTTTTGTTGTTGCTCTTAGCGCTTAAAGGATCTTTTTCAATTCGGACGGGGGCTTCATACAGATCGCGGGAACTTGGAGAGAGGGGGCTAGGAGCCCATATTCGTGGCGTTTGCTGGAGGTATAGGTCCGTGTTCTCTGAAAAGAACTGAGGCTTGAGGGGTGAGGGGTGGAGTCTCAAAGGTTTAGATTTATCATGGGTTTGGTTTGCGTTTAATTATGGACCTGAACCTTGCACCTAGCCCTAACTTGCTTTGGCCTAAGCTGGGCGGGTGGGAAAAAAAGCCTGCAGCCAAAGTTGGGGCTAAGTGTAAGGTTCAGGTCCATGCAACCCAAGCGCTTAAGACCTTTAAGGCATGATCATGCTCTTGTTTTGGATGATCATGCGAGGTTAAGGGCAGTTAAGGGGACCTTTGATCTCTTTCAGAGGGTTTCCTTTGGAGAGCTTCCAATTCAGGATGCGGAAGAGCAGGACTTGCAGCCCCCAAAGAATATAAAATATATGTAACATGAAGTTTAATCATTAATATATAATAGGAGAGTGTAATAGAGGGCCCTAGTGTTTCTGGTGGTGTGTTCCAGGCAGTGCGACCTGGGCAGCCAAGCGGGTGGCAAAAAGCCGTAGCACCCAGCCACACCCCAAAACCCTGAAATCTGCACAAATCCCCCACACAACCCGGTGAGGAACAAGAGCTTGATAAAGCTTTTTGCAAAGGAGCAAACGCCCTTGCACAGTCCTCATAAAGCTGTTGAAGCCCTTGTATGTTTAAATGCATATAATCCTTGCAAGGCATCCATTCTCCTTACATATTCCAATCTTTCTCAAACTTCCACAGCCTAACGCCCTTATGAAAAACCGAAAGCCAGGAGGTGGACCGCTCTGGAAGTCTTCGTCTTGGGCTGGAGGCAATCAGTGTTGCCTCAACCCCAAACCCTCCATGGCGGTTTAGGGTTTAGTCTAAAGTAACGGTGCCCCGGATTTTGCAGTTGTGGATCTGACTGGTCGGACATGGTTCGTTGCTGCAATGCGAAGGAGGGGTGGGTTCCAGGTTGCGCATTGCGCGGGCTCCCTGGCACTCGTAGCAGCACTTGTTAACACCTTACAGCGTCTTCCTGTAGAAGCTTTCCTATCCAAGCGAAAGTGAAGAAGAACAGCAGCAGTGTCAAAGCCATCCCAAGGAGTGTGCCTGTACTACATGCTCCCAAGACCCTTTTCTTGCAAGCTGCTGCTGTGAACGAAGACAAGATGACTAGCCGGCCGCAAACAAGCTCTCACTCCCTTCAAGACATTGGCCACAATAAGTCCGAAGCTGTAGAGTAAATTGACTAGCGTGATCATTTTACCTGCAAGCTGACTTGAAAGCCAAGCACCTCGTCTAAGAACTAAACCCTTCAATCCGCAAACGGAAACGTCGACCAGCCCATATCCTTAATCCCATATTCCCTAAATGATTGCCCAAGCCCGAAATGGCCACACCTGTGAAGTTCTTAACCCTGAGCCCTAGACCGCTCAACGTTGAAACATCCGAGCCCATCAGATCGAACGTGTCCCGGCCCATCCTTCTCCACAGCAAGCTGCGGGAGATCTGTCTCGAAGCGGATGTTCGCAACCAGGCGACGCAGCCGGGATGCGTAAGGTACAGTGCGGCTTCGCAGGGCACAGGCCAAGGGGTGGTGGGGTTGTCGAAGTGGTCACTGGGGCGACTAGGAGTCGCAGAGTTTTGGGGAGTTCTTAGTGAACTAGCAGCAGCAGCCGTAGTAGCGGTGGCAGTGGCAGTAGTAGCGGTGGAAGTAGCACTGTCGTCGTTGTTGTCGTCGTAGTAGTCGTAGTAGTAGCAGTCGTAGTAGTCGTAGTAGTCGTAGTAGTCGTCATAGTCGTTGTCGTCGTCGTAGTAGTAGTAGTAGTAGTAGTAGTATTAGTATTAGTATTAGTATTAGTATTAGTATTAGTATTAATATTAGTATTAGTATTAGTATTAGTATTAGTATTAGTATTAGAATTAGAATTAG